GACGATTAGGTGGGGGCCCTAACTCGCAAAATGAGTAATTTTAGGTGATTTTTAACTACCCGCAGGCTCGTAGCGAGGGGGTTCCTGGGGATTCGTCCGAACCCCTTTTTTCAGCGAACCCCCCACCCTACCAATAACGAACATCTTTGCTATGTTTATGCATCCTTCGTTTTTTTGCAACGGTATATAACTCGGAATTTAATAAAAAATCACCAGCAGAGATTGTGTTTCTGAGGCAGTAAGTGTGTGATCATCAGAGAGTGCGAAGCATGAATATTTATGAGAGTCTTGTTGTCAAGCTGCTGTTAACCAATCACGAGGCATTAAATTGTTTCGGGAATATTACACAAATATGGCGTCAGATTAACTGTTATCCCTTCTTTTTTTAAGTTATCTGCATTCAAAATAGCCACTTTGTTTAACGACGCAATTTTTTTGTGATTTTCAATGTCCCCCTGTGTCCATATCAGTGAGCGTATACATTTTAAATTACAGATATATTATCTATGGGTAGTTGTCTCTAGCCACAAGCAAGCACAGGCTGATCAAATGAATTAAAATGGAATGGCATTCATTCAAAGTTGGGACCAGCCCTAAAAAAGTGAAAAAAGCCAATCTTTCCCATTAATGGTTCGTCATGTGGACAGTTAAAATCTTTTCTTAAATTTACACCAGTTAACCAGATATATTAGATCTACTTATACACCAAATTTCAGCTTTGGTACTCAGCTCCTTCATGGTTAGATACTATGTTGAAAACTACACATATTTTAACAACGGAAATAACTAAATTTTAAGAGTTGGGTAATTCCATGCCATTGGATCTTAGATTTTTAAAATTTTTTATACTGACAGTTATTCATGTGAATTGAAAAACCTGAAATTTGTAGACTCTAATTCCTGTTTGTTTTCCCGTAGCAGCAGTTTGATGTAAAAGGGGGCGTGGAACAAATTGGTGCACTGTGAAATTAACTTTGATTTTCGTATGCTAATATCTTTGGAAGTACAGCGCCTATAACCTTCAGATTTTGTGGTGTAAGACATCTTTTACTGCTGATTCCAAATCTGCAATCAGAAAAGTTGTAGTATGTACTATTGTGGAATAGCAATGGTCTAAAAATGGGACAAAAACCGGTCTGGACCAACCTTTTGCATTTTTGGAGGGCTGTATCTGGGGAAAATAAGCTTAGTTCTGTAAGGGTAATGTGCTCCGTGACCCCTACAGAATCTGCCCCTGATTTCCTAGTAATACTGTATCATGCAGCTCACTTTCCGATATTCTGACTTACTTGAGAAAACTGACCACTGTCAAAAAAGATTAATATCGCAAGTGATTCAGCTTGCAAAACTAATCTTAGTCAGGCCAGCTACCAATGCTACAAGTGAAAGAACGTTCAGTAAGAACAACTACTGTATGACGCAAAACCGCCTTAATAATTTGATTTTATTATATGTACCCAAAGACAGGGCAAGTGGCTTACGTTTAGTAGACGTCGCAAATGATTTTGTCAGAGGACCGGCCAACCAACCGCCAAGCCATAGTTGGTAAATTCGGACCATCAGATCTATCCCAATCAAAATAAAAATAAAAATTCAAAGATATCTCATTTCTCCTTATCAGCTGTTAATGTTAGTATCTTGTAGTGTTTAGCCGGCATTTTGCAGTACCGTAAAACATCCGATAGAAGCCCATGGGTTTAATAACTCGAAGAGAACATCTTGGGCTTTTTTTCAAGATAGGCTCATGGACTTCCAGGGCTTGAAATTAACTTTTTTAGTTCCTATGCATATAATGCAATAGGAACTATTGTAATCACTCTTAGTCACATTTCTTTTGTTTTTTATTGTGTGTAGTGTGTGTGTGTGTAGACATTTATGCAAATGCGCATGCGTCAAAGAAAAGTTTTCCGACATTTTGTTTTACATCGCGATGGGAAGATCGATGTGAAGTTTCTGCAGAGTTCAGTCAGGACTCGCGCTAACCGACTGGAAAGCCGGCATGGATGAAACTATTTTGGTTTTACGGCAAAAAAAATCAACTGCTGTAGGCATAGGTATTTTGAAGAAGGCCTAAAATAAAACTAAAATGTTTTAATACTTGCTGAAATACATCGTTTCTCCATTTTTCACTAAGTCCATGCAACGTTTTTTTCTGTT